CTCCGTGTCCTTATAGTCAGGGGTGTTCAAATTGAAGTCCATCGAGATGTCCTCATTCTGCATCTCGCGCCGTTGCCGCTCCGAAGCTTCTGCATCATCGTCCTTCACGGACTGGGAGTTGGGCTTGACTGGCTCCCATCTTCCACTCGGCTCCATGACTTCTCGGTGCGGTCGCAATACTCCAGGTCCTCTGCTGGTACTTCTGGTTTGCGGGATTTCCGCCCTGGAGTGACATTCATCTCGTCGACCACCACCACTGTAGGAGTTGCAGAACTTGTTGCAGTTCCCATCGAATTGGTCTCCTCCTTGTAGTCCCGCTTTCGGGTCGTCTGTTTGGCCAAAGCGGCCTTCTGAGCTCTGATCTTCTCCACCTTGTCGAGGGCTGACTTTTCTGCCGCATCCAGAGCTATGTTCTTGTCCTTCAACTTGTCGTTGTAGCCCGCATTGTTTGGCCCCACAGCTTGTATCATCGCAGCTGTGTCGGCCGGAAGGGGTGCTGCTTTCCGGCATAAGGCATGGCTGCCGTATGCGGGAGTGTAACTCAACCGGAGGAGGCAGCGTTGACACCCTTCCCACGACCCGTGGGCGTTGGACCCCGTCGGTGAACCCCGACCGGGAAGAGCCACCTGGTGTTGGCCCATACAAGGGGCCCCAGCACATCGAGGATCCCTCGTGTCTGGCCCGGTCGTTCTGCTGGAGTCGTAGCGACTCTCCCAGGGCAGCTTGTTCTTCGGCTTGGACTTGGCTGCACCTTTGGTTTTCTCGGGAGGAGGCACCGACGCCATTGACAGCAAGGAGAGAGGAGGTTGAGGCAAGTAAGGCAATGATGCGAAGACTCATCTCGCGATCTTGATCCTCTGTCAAAGGTTGCGAGGATGAAATTGATCCACTGCTCTCAGCCGTTTCTTGGAACTGCTGCATGTTCTGAAATTGAACTGAATCTTCTGAAACTTCTTGAAGATGTTTTTCATCAAAAACCACAAAAACATCACATCCAACTGCATGATCAACTGCTGCTTCTCTGTGTGTCGTAGTGCATGTAGATGATGAAGATAATGCGCACGAATGTGGAGATGTAGGTGTTGAACATGAACTGCACTGCATCTTGAAAACCTTGTTACCTTCAATGACCTTGTCATCTTCAAAAACTGCAAACGACTTTTGCTCAGTCATCGGACGAGGTATTTCAGTTTGGAAAAGTATCTTCGCTCCTCCGTCAAGCCAGTTGGCACAGAGGTCCAGGAGCAGGTGGCCTGTTGGCGACCTTTTCAGTGGCACCACTAAGGTCGGATCGACCTCTTTCAACACAAGAAACCCTTGCCTTGTGTCAAGGATCGCACCTAGCCTCTCAAGTGTGCGAATCCCTATGAGCAGTGGCACTCCTGCTGCATCCAACGTGTATGCTCCTATTTTGATCTCATGTTTGCCTACAAATTGCTTGATGTTCACGAAGCTTTCTGATGCTTGTGTCATCCCATTTCCAAACCTAAAAACTTTTCCCGGCCCCTGCATGACTTCAATGTGATCGGAGTGACCCAAAATCTCAGTCCTCCGGGCATGGATGGCCTCCAAAGCAGCCAAACTCGTCACCGTCTCTGTTGCACCGGTGTCGAGCACAGCATGTCCTCGAAGGTGAGGTTCTGAAACTTCAGCCATCCATGCATCACCACAGATCGAAGTTGGCCTTGCAGAGGTCGATGTAGTGTCCTCTGAGACCATGAAGACCTTGCCAGATTTGCCCTTGCCACCTTTCTGATTGCCGCGTTGTGGGCATTCACGAAAACCATGGTACTTGTTGCCACAAATGAAGCAACCACTTGAAGCGGCCATGACATCACCAGCGGGCGCCGCCTCAAACACATTGGAGGGTGCACTTGGCAAGGAAGTCGTAGGCTTCCCTTTTCCTTTGCCGAAGGACTTGGTCTTTCCTTTGGCTTTTCCTTGAGGGTAAAAACCACGGCTCGCATTTTTCGCACGCATCAAATTGCGCGACTCAACGAAGGACCTGACTTTTCCTTCGTAGGTAGCATAGGCTTCTGCAAGTTCTTTCTGTTGTTCTGGAGTCGCTGACCACCAAGCTGCTTCATCTTGGTAGTCTTCCCATGTCCAAAAGGTTCCAGCGGCATCCTCGTGGTAGTACTCCCCATCGTTGTGAAGAGTCCAAAAGGTGAAGCCGCCAGAGTCATCTTGATGCCAATAGCCTTCTTCTTGTCCAGGTTCAGACTTCGTCCAGCCTGTGTGATTCCATGTAGGGCCCCTCGAAGATGAAGCGCCGCTTGGAGGCGAGGAGGTGTTGTAGACGGCCGCAATGTCACGGCCAACCCAGTGCACATTCTCGAAGTCCTCGAAGTAGTCCTCGTCCTCCATAGTCAGCAGGCCCCATTCTCCATCACGCTCAACCCAAAAGTTGGCTCTGTTTTGAGCTCGAGGATGCCCTTTTCCTTTTCCTCCACGATCTTGTTCATGAAGTCGAAGTTCATCTTCTGCTCCTCTCAAACCGCGCTCCACATCGTCAGCGCGAAGAGAATTGCCCACGCTGCTCAGGATGTTAAGCCTTTGCTGCGAGGTCAAATTGCACCTCCGCAGCATCAGCCACCCTAGCAGCTCCGAAGGTAGGACTTCTGGGAGTCCACTGTCCATCTCTTCCCACATGCGCCCAGGCCAAGCGCTCTCATCACTTGAAGAGCCTGAGTCATCTGCACGCCTTTTGGAAGGCTTTCCAGGTCGAGGTGAGGTGTCTCTCCCCTTCGCATAGCCTTTTGCAAAGCATTCTCCAAAACGTTCTTGTCCATCATCTTCTGAGGCTTCTTCTTCTTTGACTGAACCAAGTGGATCGCCAGGAGCATCGGCAGGAGGGTCAGGTTCAGGAACAGTCGCTTTTGAAGTCTTTCTGGATTCCCTGGAGTGAGCGGATCCACGTCCAGGAGAAGCATCTTCAGGAGTTGCAGACCTCGGTGAAGTCGGTTCAGGCGACACAGACGGTGTCTTTCCACCAGTCTCAGGACTCGGTGTAGGGCTCGGTGAGGAAGGACGAGCACGTTTCAGCGCCCTCTGCAACTTTCTGTAGCTTTCCCTCACCGTAGCGCACCATGAAGCCATAGACATCCCAACCGGACGCCTCAACTTCACTAGAAGTTCTTCAGCACGAGCTCCAGCGTCTGGAACAGGAACACGTGCTAGGCGATCTTCAAGGTACTCCACCAGGTACTTCGCACCATCATTCTGGACCAAGCGTTGGTGGTCGATCTCTTGAGTGATCGTCCATGCACGTCCACTCAATTGGCCCACCAACTCCGGACCCAAGTGCTTCCTCTTCCTTCTCCGGGTCTTCTCAAAGGCTAACCGCACTCTGCGGACATAGTCTGGAAATGTTGCCAGATCTCCGTCCCAGCTGCATCTCAAGTCTTTCTCCTTCTCAGCCATCACCACTCAGCTATTCTTCAAGACTCAAGCAGTGATTGCAGCAGCAAGATCAAAATCTCAGCAATCTGCAGGGCTCGCGCACTGAGGGCACACCAAAGGTTCCCAAAGCGTACTGCTCCAGCTCAAAGGCTTCTCGCAGGTAGCTCCGCTACCAGTGTCGCTGAGACACTGGCAGCACCAAAACTTCGGGGGGGTTTGCTGACACACCAGCTGTTGCACAAGTTTCAAACGTAGCAAATGTCCAGCAAGTTGTTTTCGACACCACGCAGTCGAAGTTGTCGTGCCGCCAATGGCACAGCAAAGGGTTGGCACCGGCTTTAGTGCCTAGAAAAGACTGTAGCCTTGGTTTTCCTTTTGGAAACTGGCCAAAGGGTTCCCTTGGGATGAAAAGCCACACACGGCCGTGCTAAATGACTGACATGTAACACCACCGGAAGTGAACTCACCATGCTGTTGCTGATTCAATGACAGTATGCGAGCAGTGTCACATAGTTTATGGCGACCCCAGATCAATAAACACCCCCGCACCCCCACCCCCACTATGGGTCAACAAGGTCAACAAGGTTGTTTGGGGGAATTGAAAAAACGAATTGACAAACCTCCGCTCATTGATGATACGTCAATTTTGCTGGAATTCAGTGCATAAGCACCAATGAGGTGTCACTTTTAGTGGAATCAGCCAGATTAGGGCGGCCCATCGATGAGAAGTCTCAGAATGCCACGGATTCATCAGCTGGAAGCAGCATCAGCAGGGTGCTCGCTCGCTAATTAGAACAAGGGAGGGATGACATAGGCAAGGGTCAGGAAGTAAGCATAAAAATTGCAGCACCAATTAAAAGTAAAGGGATATAATAAATAAGTGCCACTAAAAAATCTGGGGGGCCCAGAGTTGCTTGTCCAGGGGAAGGCACATCATTATGGGGTTGAAAACCAGCAAATTAACTTTCGTATTGCCCAAACATTTGGGGGAGATGGGCCTTAGCAAATAGTGTGGCTTTATTAATCCTACCTTGACATTAATTAGCATCGTAAAATAACTATAAATATATATGCTATATGTGTAAACTCGCTGCCCACACAGGTTGAGTATCTGTTTAAAATGATCCTATGATCCTGAAACCACCTATGTACTAGTGCGGTAGTACTATATGTGGTGCCCATTTAAGAGTGCATCCCACACTTGACTGAATCAGATTTAGCATAGCATGTTGAGGGATGGGAAAAAAAAACATTGAGGATTTTCCCATGATTATCGATTTACTCCCCAAGTGGCTATGGAACAACATCCTGGTACAAAATAATTCTCATAGCTGGCAGCTGGACGTTCATCCTATTCGGAAAATGGCTTTTGACCCCTCATATCACACATCTACCATGTTCGGGTGGTCAATTCGCAGTTTGACAAACTCTTCTGTGGTTCAGAACTTCAAAAATTGTGGTTTTTTTCAAGGTTGTTAAGTTGTTCGGCAATTTCTAGACTTGTTGACAAAAACCAAACTTATATGATCTTGTGGGTTTGACATCACCATTTTGGGGGGGTCCAAAAGGGGTCCCTGCCGGTCCCTGCCGGTCCCTGCCTGGGCTCCGAGGTCAAGCCGAAGGCTCCGGAAACTCCGGCCCTTGTTCCAGCTCCGCTCGGGAAGCCTGGAGTTGGTTTCACCAGTGAAGGAATTTTCACCAGCAAAAGTGGTTGTGAAATTCGAAAGTGGAGAACGTCACTGCTTCTCTCTGAAAAACAATTGGATACCCTCTTGTAATTTCACTAGATCTATTGGCCCATTTAGTTCGAATATTTACCTATCGAACTGCTGATTTTCATGGACTTTCCATATCTCAGATTACTACAGGGATCTACAAGGGATCTACAGGGTATCTGTGATGGCTCAACTGATCCAAGACGCTGATGCCCATGGCAGTCTGACAGCAGAAACGCCCGCTGGACTGGTGACCGGGCCAGTGACAGAGTGCAGGTCGCTACCGCAAACGCCAAGGCAGCTCTTCGGCAGAAAGCCATGGGTTTTTCGAAGAATTTGCGGCTTGGGCCCAAGTGACAGGAGATGGTTTAGTGATCAATCAATATCAATTCAATGTCATGAACGTATATGAAATGATGCCAAATATCTCTGTATTCTGGTTTAGCAAGTGTATGAATAATTGAACGTGATAAGTGGTGAATAATGATGATAATAAAAATATATAATAACAACAATAACATATACATATGTATATATATATAATAATAATATATTATAAATTATAAATTATAATATATATATATATATAGTACATGTCATTTCATATCGATGTTTACTGCATATATTCATAGGATTTCAGAGGACTAGTAGCAGCATGATAGTGGAATATTAATGGTGGAATATTGTGGTATTCACTGGCTTTAATGTTTAAGAACATGTTGTACATTGAATAGATTATCAATCAACATTGGTGAGTTCCTTTCATACTTAGATTAGATAGCCCTTACGCATCACAAACAACCTGATAAACCATAAATGAACTAACGGTCGATTAATATCAATTAACATTGAGGGATTCATCAGCTCAGTTGGAGATATACAACCAACAGGAACAAGCGTTATCTACTCAACAAAAATCGGTGAGAGCTTCGGCCAAACAATTCAAGAACGAAAAACGGCAAATTGATACTGGTTGACTGGTATCGTTCGGGTTTCCTTTGTCCAAAAAGCAGCTAGGGTCAGTCATGTAACCTCAACAGGTTTCAACTATGGACATTAATCCGATCCCAACTAAACCATGGTTTCGGGGGGTGTTTAATATGAAAGGGGGACGGGATTAGTTCGACACCTCGGCTTAGGATGGGGGTTGAAGAACTGGCAGCTGTTCACCGGGAGTCGATACACAGTTCTCCGCCTAGATTTCCCATGTCCTACCACCGAAGAGGCTCATGGAAATTCCACCAATTCTACATGAATTTCCTACTATGGAGATCTGCAGGGAGTTTTCGTGGCCATCTGTGATTTCCTGAAGGTCAGTCTCAGAAGCGAAATTGCCAACACACAGCCACTCTGAATCAAATGTGTGAGAACTGCCGGGCTAGTTGGTAGTTCCATCCCAAACACATAAGTCAAGTTAAGGATGTAAATAGTAAACCCAACCATGAACCAGCTGCAATTTTGACATTTTGAGTTTCATTCAAACCATGGCGATACCATTCTAGGAATGGAAGTCTTCAACATCCAGCCACCCAACTGAGCCACACGAAATCTGTCCAAAAAACACCAGATTCCCAGCCACCCAGGCGGCTGTTTCTAATGAGATGGTGTGCCACGGTAAAAAACAGCAAATGATGGATTCGCTGTCTCACGACGCAGCAGCTGTGCTCAGTTAAGGCCTTCCTGGTACCGTGGTGGTTAGATAATCATCCAAATAGTTGGCCGTCATTCCACCAATGGTCCCATGGGTATCCACAAACATATAGACTGAGGTTGATGCTCTCAGATGAATCTTGCATTTGATATATAATTGAGCCAAACAAACCGTCAAATGGGCCTGTCTGAAAAGGGAAAATGATGATAAACCACGGCATTTGGAGGTACCCAATTTTCAGACAAACCCAAATATGATGCTGCGAAATGATTTGCGATTTTAAGATGGGAACATGTCATACCAAACCCTACGAATATGATGTGCGACAACATGAAATTGTGATAAAACCGTACGCGAATAGAATACTGCGGAAAAAATCAGAAATATAATGATTATAATAATCATATCAATGACACGCTGGTAAAGAGCTGTGGAAATGTGAAATGGTGTGACAACATGCCATAACAAAGACAGACACCACACTACATACACAGGAAAGAACAAGAGAAAATGCATAGCACAAGGGACTACGGTAAAAGAAATAAAGCACAAGACCATCTGTGAGTGTACAGTGTGTACAATATTTTCTTTTCAAACGAAGTTTAGTTCGAGAACTTCCGGGTTGCGGACGATTGTCCAGTCAGTCTTTTCATCACGTCATCAAGTGGTCTTCACCATCATCACCATCATCATCATCATCATCATCATCATGATCATGTGATCATATGTCAACAACATAGCGGGCAAGAGTAGTTCGCGTGTGCGAGAAGTAGAGAAGGGTAACAGCTCCGGAACGCGTGAATTCAGGGGTGAAAACGCTTTCGGGCGCGAAACCCTGTGTTTCTTCGGGAAATGTGGCAGTGGCTCCTGGGGTCGCCAAAGAAGGGTGTCTGTTTCCGCGGTTGCGGCCCTCGATGTCGATAAAAACCGCACGACATTGTAGAGCTCGGTTTTTGTCAAAAAATTGCTTCTCGCTGCAGGGGCGTGGCACTTTTGGAGCAAAATGTGCACGAGACTTTCGGAGCAGCCCCGGATTTGTGTGGTCAAATCTCCACTGTCAGCGCTGCGCGAACGTTGGTCGATTTGTTGTGACGCTCCTTCTATGTGGGTTTGCAACTGGCTGTGACAACACGTATTAGCACGGCTGCGCGCAGCAAAGCATGAGTGATGCTGCGACGCTCCTGGCAAGCGGGACTGCAGCTGGAGGTTGTTACCCGCATTGCAACAGCTGCACAAAAGGTAGTTTTGGGCAATGGTGCTACTCTTGTGCTGTGCGGGATTGCAGCTTGAGGTTGCTAAACGGATTGTGCCAGCAGCGCGAAGAGAAGAATTCGGTTGCAGAAGCTGCAGAAGAGCTAGCTGGGAGGCAGCTCAGAGCAGAAGCAGCCCAGATAAGTGGCTGCTCAGAGACGAAGTAGCTGAGAGAAGAGGTGCCTCAGCGAAGATGTCACTCAGAGAAGAAGTAACTCAACAAAGAAAACTAGCTCACTCATCTATCCACCCATTCACCCATCCTTCAATTCATTCATTGGTTCATTCGCTTACTTTCTGATTCATCTGTTCATTGACTGATTGGTTCATTGATTCAATGATTTATCTTTTCGGTGGCTCATTGATTCATTGATTCGTTGATTCACTGATTCATTGTCAATGACTCAGTGGTGCACCGACTCATTGGTTTATTGGTTCATTGATTCACTGGTTCGCTGGCTCGTTGATTCACTGAATCACTGGTTCATTGATTCGTTGGTTCAATGGTTCATTGATTCATTCATTCATTTCATTCATTCACTCATTCATTCATTCATTCATTCATTCATTCATTCATTCATTCATTCATTCATTCATTCATTTCATTCATTCATTCATTCATTCATTTCATTTCATTTCATTTCATTTCGTTTCATTTCATTTCATTTCATTTCATTTCATTCATTCCATTCATTCATTCATTCATTCATTCATTCTTTCATTTCATTTCATTTCATTTCATTTCATTCATTCCATTCATTCATTCATTCATTCATTCCTTTCATTCATTCATTCATTCATTCCTTTCATTCATTCATTCATTCATTCATTTCATTTCATTCATTCATTCATTCATTCATTCATTTCATTCATTCATTCATTCTTTCCTTTCCTTTCCTTTCCTTTCATTTCATTTCATTTCATTTCATTCATTCATTCATTCATTGCTTCTTTGATTGAGTCACTGACTCGTTGTTTCACTGGCTCATTGATTCATTGATTCGTTGATTCACTGGTTCGTTGATTCACTGATTCACTGATTCATTGCTTCACTGATTTGTTCAGTCATTGCTTCATTGATTCATTGGTTCATCGGCTCACTACTTCACTCATTCATTGATTCATTCATTGGTTTACTGCTTCCATTGGTTCACTGGTTCCTTGATTCATTGCTTGATTGGTTTGTCGTCTGATTTATTGATTCATTGCTTCGTTCCTTCATCCATTCACTGATTCACCGATTGGTTCGTTGATTCATTCAGTCAGCTGTGCATGGATTCTTTTATGTCATTTCATTGGCATCTCAACAACCATTTGCTCATTCGTTGATGCATCTCACAACTTCAACACTTCTTTGCTTCTGCATCTCAAAAACTTTTCTATAGGCCATCTTCTTCCTATAGTTGTTTCATTTCTTCGAAACTTCCTCCCCGGCGCAGGCCGGGCACTACCTGGTATGTATGTCTGTTTGCCTGTCTGCCTGTCTGTCTCTGTCTCCGCCTGTCTGTCTATCGGTCTGAGATTCTGAAAATATTCTATACATGATTCTATAGTGTATACTATCTATATACTATCTACATACTATCTACACACTATTGTATACTAAAAATATTGCATAATATCTATAGTGATTTATTTATTTATATTCATTGTATACTCCAGGCCGAGCACGCAAAAAGAGCGTGAAGAACACGCTCCCCATCTTAGGGAACTCCCGCCGTCCAACGACCGAGCATCCACCCACATGATGGTTGCAGTGTGAGCAATTTGCTGAAATCAAAAAGGGGTATTTGAATGACCAGGCTTTGATGGTAAACTTGGAACTACATGGAATTATATCCTTGGTGTTCTTTTCTTCCAAATCGAAACAGCTGCAGGTACCCTCCATAAATCTCTTGCACGTGTACAGTGTATAGATGGCAATGAAGCAAATTTGGAAACCCTCACTTTATTGTTGAAACAGAATCATGTACAAAAGGTGTTTTGGACTGCTACCCCCCATTGTTCACGGGTGAATCCTCATGGTGGATATGGCTGACGCTGGTCCCGACATCTCTATAAATTCTGGTGGATTTTTGACGTTTTTTATCCCGAAATCCTTGGTTTGTCATCATTTCCGTTATGGAAAAAATCACCCTTTTGCAGTACCCCATCTACCTCGTCTTTTGACACATCGAAATATCATAGCGTTCATAATTATACTCATTATATCCCACCATCATGTTTACTCACGCAAGTATGATATTGTTAATTATACCCATTACATCCATGTCCATGCAACTCCATTTATAGAATTATATAGCAAAATAACACGACGAGGCGCTGTGTGTTGCCCGGAACGTTCAAATGGTGTTTAAACATGATCCTTCAACATGTTCAAACACCTGCGCAGGGCCAGTGTTTTGAGATTTCCCAGACGACGAACCCTAAACTCTAAGCCCCTAAGCATCCTAAACCCTAAAACCCTAAACCCTAAAACCTAAGCCCTGAAAACTTTGAATCCTAAACCAATATTTTCTGCTATCTCTCCTATCATATGTTCAACAACACGACATCCTTTTTAATGTTGATGTCTGGGCAACACACGGCGTCTGTGGGCAATATTACATGTAATATATAGTATTGATTTATATATATATATATGTGTGTTTATTTTATATATCCCACCTTCGTTTGTGAGATCTGTCGAAGTCACCAGCTACCAGCTACCGGCTCCCTGGGTGCGCTCCATTCCGATGGGATCCTAGGATGAACACACATTTTTTTTGGTTCGAAATGATAATCTACAGATGGTCCATGTGGCGGTCAGTCAGACCCAATTGTGTGGCGTTGCTGTTGTTCGGATGTACACCCCAATCATGTTAACTTTGGAACTCAAAAAGGAGCGTGCCGTTGTGACGACCAGAGACCATCCAACTTGGGGACTGATATTGGACCAATGAACACGTGATTCTCTCAATCGGTTCAAGGGAAATCACAACTTATCACAACGTACTTGGGATTCCTGTCGATTGGTTCTGCTTCCAATGCCTTCACACAGATCCATCAAATCTACGATGTCAAAACGTGCGTCAGTCGAGTTGATCAACGGAGCTTTGCCAACGCTTGGTTCGCCTAGGTGCTTCCCATTCCGTTGTAACCACGTAACCACGAGGAGCCTTGAATACAGATTACGGCGCAGAGATGTGGCGGTTGGGGTTCACAAAACTAGTGTCTGGCTGAATTGCAAAAATTCACAATTCACCATGTAAAAAAGTGACTAACCATTGACTAACCATGGCTAACCATTGCCTAATCATGACTAACCATGCGAAAAAAAAAAGTGGTTCTGCTTCTCAACCATTGACTAATCATGACCAACATCCTTGGTGAGGCCGCTGAACAATCGCTAATTTTACATTGACCCATGCCCCATGTATTATATAATAGTTGGCTGATACTATTCCCTATGGGTTATGCGGCTATACCAGTAATCATCCAAGTAGTATAACTCCCAAGCATGACCAATGGACCTTAGTCTTTTGGATTGGAAATCCTCTGTTTATAGATGATCTTCCCATTAAAAGCTCCATGCCTACATGTTTAGGGGATTTCCAATTGCCATGAGTTGCCAAAGGGATATCAGAGGGTAAGTACTTGAGTGCCAAGAGTTTCGGGCAGAGGAATCACAGCCACACACTGCACCACAGCGCCGCACCGCGGTGCACCACGCGTTTTTCCACCAGCGCGCGGCTGGGACACACACGTGGCTCTCCCCAGTGTCTGGAGACCTAAAGTCCCAAAAGGGAAAGTTCCACTTGCAAGTGTAGTTGGAACGGTTGGAACATGCTACAACCCAGACACAAATCTCTATCGATATATATATATATATATATATATATTTATATAAAGTAAAACGAACAATACATATGCATACATATACTTCATACACCATCATCTTGATCACATCTATAATCTATAAAACAAGGCTGAATTCAACGAAAGCGTATCAAGAATGGTTTCAACACACCCACCATTTAGTGGGGATTCGGAAAATCTATGGAATCTATGGGCCAGCTTAGCTTCCAACTGCAGAGATGAATGAATTCCATCATCAAAGACATCAGTCATGCTGGCAACTGGTATTTAGCCAGCACTCTCCGAATAAAAATGCAGAAAAAAAAACGCATGTACATACGAATGAGAATTATATACTATACATATGTGCATATATATATATGTGTATTATATTATCTTATATTAAATTATGTTATATTATATTATATTATATTATATTTGATATATTATATTATATTATATTATATTAAATTATATTATATTATATTATAATATATTATAATTTATATATTATATTATATTATATCATATTATATTATATTATATTATATTACCATATTATATTATATATTATATATGATATATATTATATTATATCATACTATATCATACTATATATTATATTATGTTTTATTAAATTATATTATCAGATAATATTATATTATATTATATTACCATATTATCTTATCTTCTATAAGTATATCATAATATATTCTATTATCAGATCATATCATATTATATCATATTATATCATATTGTATCATATTATATAGATAACATTATACTATATCATACTATACTATACGATATTTTATTATGTATTAAATTTTACTATATTGTATTGTATTAGATATTAGATTATATATATATATATTGTATTATATATTATAATATATATTAATATCATATCATAATCATAATTATTATATTTTACTATATTGCATTAAATTCCATATTATATATTATATTTTATATTATCATATATTATATTATATACGTTTATATATATCATATATATTCTAAGTTCTCATATATATATATACATAATCTTATTTTATATATTATTTGATATATCATTTTATATATTATAGTATATATATTATAGTATATATATATTATAGTATATATATATTGTAGTATATATATATATGATATTATATTATATATATTATATTATTTGATACATATATATATATATATTAGTATTTGATATATTTATATTATATTATAATTATAGTATATATATTATAGTATATATATATTATAGTATATATATATTATAGTATATATATCATAGTATATATATTATAGTATATCTATATACATTATAGTATATATATAAATATTATAGTATATATATATATATTATAGATTATTATAGTATATGTTATGTCATAATTGTATTATATTATATTTTAGTCTATTTTATCTTATCATATTTTAGTATATCACATTATATTATCTTTTTCTGGGCATAAGGCATAACGGCCGGCATAAGTGCACAAATGATGTTCTTCCGTAAAATATTGAAGTTCATACGAATTCACCCCGAAATTCAGACCATCGGAGGGAGCCACCCACACACACCTGTAACGACCACTGGACAGCTGGACCTTCGTAGTCCACCGGAGCTCAAAGTTTGGGACCCAAAATCTGTTCACTGAAACACTAGAATTTACTCCGGCAAGCGACCCCAAACAGCGCGGGGAAGCAACTTGGCGGAAGTAATTTCGCTCGATCTCAACAAAGATCTTTGAAAAGAACACACAAGATTCAGACACATTCCTAGACAAAGACCCACAGCGTCTCTGCACAAGGATCTTGTTTAGGGAAACTTACAGATCTTGCAGGATTTCTGTACTAAGGACCTTGTTAAAACCCCATCGCTTTCACCACCATTGGTACAAAGTTTGGTTTAGAACACGGAGGAGAGACATCAAAGATGGTGCTGACTGGCACGCTCCGCCCCCGCGGTGGACGTCCTGCCGTCCATACGACCGTGTTTTTGGTTGTTTCCTGGGTCCCGTTTGGGCCATGATGAGACAATTTTTGTTCACAATGCTTCGCCGGAGAATGGCTCGTGTTCGTTTCTATTCGTTGGCTCCTTGGCCTTTTTTAGTCTCTTTGCTTCCGTTAGTGTGGTGAGAGAATTGCTGTTGCTTGCGTTCGGTGGGTTCCTGTCACTGGCTAGGTTTTGTTCTGAATTGGATAAGTGTCATTAATGTGGTTCCTAAATCTGGGTTGGTGGGGTGCCTGGAAAGTGGGTTGGGTTCGTGTTTGGCAACTCACAAGATTCTCTATAGCCCTTGTGTGGAAAACTCACAAGATCCCGCAAGATATTTGTACCAGGATCATTCTTAGGGCGACCCACACCGTCTGTCTACAATCTACAACGATCCTGTAAAGGAAACACAGGATCTCCGGACAAGGACTTTATGTCAAGGTTGCGATTACAAGCCATTTCCAAGAACTCACAAGGTCTCTGGCCCTTTAAGTGACTTCAAAGAATCTCTGTAACTGTACCATACTGTACCAGGATCCTCGTTAGGGAAACCCGCAACATCTATCTTCAAGAACCCTTTAAAAGAACCCACAGGTGCACGAGGACTTCAAGGAACTCATGGGATCGTTGTGCAAGGGTCCTTTAGGGAAGCTCTCACCTATACAAAGTGCAGGCTGCGCAAGCGATATCAAAATGAGCGCCCCGCCACAACGAGATATGACACGCACAAAGTGCGGAGAGGATTGCGCAAGCAATGTAAAAATAAGAAGCGCCACGATACCACCCACACGCACACACAAAACGACCAACAAAGAACACACAGAACGGACGGGCGCAAGTGCTGCCCCGATTTGCGCGAGCCTGCGCAGTCAAAAACGCCCGTGGAAGTATCGAAGGGAACTTTTGTCAGGGACTGATCGAGACTGTCGGTACAAGAGACACAACCACTCATGTGAACCCTCGATCAACCCTAGCCTCCAACAATTAGTGTGATTCCCCTCAGTGTGAACACTGCTTGGGGAAAAGAACAGCATCAAAAAAACACATTATTATGTTATACCGGATAAATAACCATAAATAATCATCATCTTACTGGCTGTCCCTCATTTTTCGTGTCCAGTCGTCCCTGTCCCTGCACCCTGCAGCGTGGCTCATAGCACCATGGGCTGTCCAAAAACAATCCCAGGTTGAGGAGCAATTGGCGGCTGGGCAGGAACCTTGGTGACTCAACAGCAGCCGGGGCCAATGCTGGAAATATGTGGGAAAGCATCCAAAAAGATGTGTTTTTTGTGCAAACCCCAAAAAGGTTGAATTTTTACTGAACTGTGATGTTTTTTGTTGAACCGGTTTGCTGAAACGTGGCTGGAAAGTCTCCCATTTTACTTCGATGATTTCCAGCGAAATTCACCTCCGTTTACTTCGGGGATTTCAATCAACAGCCGAATGTTTTTGGCTGACACAGAGCCCTTGGTGCGGCCGAAGTTGGGCTCGGCTGTCACTGAATGGGGGGAGCCCAGAATGAAGTTGCTTGTTGGTTTCAAGCCCTCAAAAAAGGTGTCAGTTGGGATCATTCTCCCATTAGGGTTGAACCAGGTTTCATCATCGTCCAAAAAAAACATTTTAGATTGGTCAAATCCCTATATATATATATATATATATGGTGTGAAAAAAATCTCTCATTTCATGGTTCAATCAGACTTGTTCTTTGTTTTCGCAGATTTTTGGTTGGTGAAACACCTCGATTTCGTGAAGAAAATCCATGGTCCTCCCGCCTCAAACAAACGCGCCCGCCTCGAAGGAAATGTTGATGAGGCTGCCCTTGAAGTCAATCTGGTTCAGTGCCTCTTCCCTCAAAATGAGCTGCGAATGGGTGGGTTTTTTCCGAAGTGGAGATTTCCTAAAATGGGGGTGCCCAAAAATGGATGCATTGTAAATGTTTATAATGGACAATCCATCTATAAATGAATGATTTGGGGGTACCCCTATTTCAGGAAGGAAATCACGAAGTCGAGAGAAAACCATGGTAGAATATTCCGGGTTCCCGGTGTTTTTTCCCTGATACCAAGTCCGGGAATTAAGCAGTATAGTTTGGGGTGTGACCATCCCCTACTATTGCCATAACATAGAGGGCAATATTATGGGTACATGAAACCATGAAAGCTAACTCTTGATCATGGCTCAGATGCGCATTGCCACCTATAATAGGACATAACAAATACTGTGCCAAACGACCCATAACTTTGGGCATACTACACCATCTAGTCTTGGGAAACCACGATTTTCAAACCAAAAATCGATTCTGTCTGGCATCAGCACGGAAGGCCAACCTACCTACAGCAGTTCTTCGAAGGTCCCATTTCAACATCACCAAATTTCATACCAACCCCTCGAGGCCTCCAATGGACTTCCCCGCAAGTAAACATTGTTTTTTAAATGTATATGTTTATACTTTTCTTAGCTGGTTAAACACATTTTGGCACTGGTTAGGTTCATGATGGTTCATGTATCGACTACAGTTATGAGTAGTAGTTGTGTTTGCACTTGCTTTTGAAACTCTCAGGATTTGAAACCCAAACAGAACACTCCAGCTGACGCTTTTGGAGACTTGGACCCAACTTGACGAAGCGCGCACCTCTTCAGCTGTTTGGTGATGGATCCACCTTGGAAAAGACACATCAGAATCTCTTGGGCAGATGTGAAGTCAAAAAACAAATCAACTGAAGTCTGGGAAAATTGTACTTTCAAAATCTGATGTAAGGACAAAAAATAGATCGTTTTGGGGTGATTTCAAATCACGTGTGACCGAGTGTGGGGCTGCTATCTGCCAGGCCCTACGTGTCCGACTACACCGTCCCAAAATGGGTGACAAAATTGGATATACCCAGGAAATTGGAGTGTCAAAATGACCCAACGACATGCAAAATGTCTATTGAATTCTTTGACCGCAAAATCGTGGACTCGATTTTTGTGTAGTTGGTGAATGAACAGGTGCAGTGCCAGCTTTCAGTGCCAGTTTTTTGAGCCAAACCCATTTGCCTTGAAGCAATGGCTGAACACCTCATTTTTTCCGATAGAACCAACGTTTTTGTGGTACTTCCCCCAATTTCTAGGATTGTGTCATTAACACATGGCCAGTACTTGACAGTCTTGGATACCCATCACAGTTGCTTTTGCTGGATTTTTTTTTTTATATGGTTTCGTGCAGGTTTTCCCGTAGTCCAATCCATTGACAATTTGGGGAGATTGCCCCACCTTTATATAAACCATTCGTATCATATTTGTTGACTCTAAATCCCATTCCCCATTGGTCACATCAATGTCAAACCCTAGATTCGTATTGGATCTCTTCATTTCCTGGCGCATGTGGCTGGTATTTCCCATTATATTCCCCTTATAATATATTCCCATTACATCCATGTTATATCTATATTATGTGTATACAATATATAAATAAATTAATGTCAATAACTACCAGTAGTACCGCACAAGGCGGTGGCGGAAGTTTCAGAAAGAGGAATCACGGATGGCAGAGCGAATCCACTGATGGACCAAAAGGTGGTTGAGGTCTCCTCTCTTTCTCTCTCTTTCTCTGACTATCTACCTACCTACCTACCTATCTATCTATGCATCTATCTATCTATC